GCCACCGCGCCCGGCCCATTTCTGACGTCTTTAGGTTGGATTCTCAGATGTAGAATTATCTGCAGGTCTGCATATTTTTAGGGGGCTTCTGGGAGGGCTGTACCAGCAAAATGCATCATTTTCGTAGCTGCAGAACATTTGGTGAGCAGCTTCTTTTGCTGCTGTTAACCTACAGAGAAGGGTTGCTTGCCTGTGCAGCTCCCCAACTCCTGTCTGCTCCCCATCAGGGCTGTGCGTGTCATGTCCCACCAGTCCAGTCTTTCCAAGTGCAGTGACCCCTGGTGGATTGATTTCCCTTTCCTTTGTTCCCCAGGGCAAGAGGAGGCGGAGCTGGAGGAGTTCCTGTGTCCCGTGAAAATGCCCACTGGGCTCGTGGGCATGGCAGCTGCCTTGCAGCCAGTCCCTGCCATGCCCTTGGCCCTTCAGAACATTTCCCTCAAGCACCTGGGAACTGAAATACAGTAAGTGCCAGTGGGGCCGAGGGGCTGGCCGGGCTGCAAGCAGCCCCCTCTGCAGGGCTTGACCTGGTGCGAGTCCCCTGCAGGGAGGTGGGCCAGGGAAGACGGTCAGGGGCTTTACTTTCAATTAACCACATCATCACTGTAAAATATTATATTTGTTATTCTGGTTAGAAAAGTAGTATGTGTTCATTGTAGGAAATCAGAAAGTCTGGAAAAATGTTTATTTATGGATATGAATTGTAAATTACCCATAATCCTATCACCCAAACATTCTTAGCATATCTCTTTTCTCTGTATTTTCTATATACATACATGCATAATTGAGATTATATTGAATGTAATATAGTGATGGCTTCACAAATATCTACGTGTCAAACTCATCAAATGATTCACTTTTAACATGTGTAGTCAATCATACCTAAACTACTTTTTTCGTTTAATAATGCATTATATATACACTTTCCTATTGTCAGACTTTGTTTTAAATAGTTCATAAGAAGGCAGCAGTATAGCCTGGGTATTGGAGCCAAACTGCCTGGGTTTGGATCCTGGCTCCATCAGTCATGGGGTGTGCCTTGGCAAGGTGTTTGGTTTCTCTGCGCTTTACCTACCTCGTTAGTAAATGTAGATAGAGTGGTGCTTGCCTTATAAGTTTAGCATGTGGGTTAAATGGGCGGATACATGCAAATTGCTTTAGAACTGTGCTTGGCAATCTTAAGTGCATAATAATATTAGCTGCTGCTGCTGCTGCTTTTGCTATGGTTGAAAGAATGGAAACTTTCAGGAAGTCAAACTATATTCAGTACTGATCCTGTTTGGGCACTATTTTCTGTGTGAACTTCAGACAAACTGGGACCTCTTAGAAGGCAGAACAAATTGCTCACTGGACTTGGTTTAGGGACCCCTAGCTCTGTGTGACTCAGGCACAGGATTTCCCTCCGCCAGCTTCAGTGTTTGAATTTGTTTGGGTGACCAGGAGGGTGGTGATGCCCTTCCAAGGAGAGAAGCAGGTTTTAGGGAAAAGACAGTGTGTGTCCTTTGGGGCCTACTGAAGGAGGTAGAGCTACCCCACAGGCATTTGGGTGATGGGACCTGGAGCCCAGGAGAGAGATCTGAGCTGGAGAGAGAAGCACCAGGAGGGCACCCTACAGGAGATTGTTCCTCAGGAAGAGCTGAGGGGAACTGGGTGCATTTAGGACCATGCCAGGACAGAGAGGAGGTCTGAGAAGTCCACCCATCCAGCCAGCGTGCGCCCAGGGAAGCCTCGCCAAGATAAAGCCAAGTTCGTGCCTGATGGAGGCCACAGCTGCAGAAGCGGAACAGAGAAAATGCAGAGACGAGGAAAGGAAGGAAGTTTCAAAGAAGATCAGTCAGTCACTTCCCTCCTGTCACAGAAAATTCAAGGCAACATTGCAAGAGAAATGCCCTGGGCTGTTGAGAGCCCCAGACAACTTGGTGAGATCAGGGTGCAGGACTCTGTGTCCTGCACCCCTTTGCCCTGGCTGGTCTTGGAGCTTGAGGTTGGTGCTGCCATGAGCCCAGGTCATACTCAGGAGACGGGAACAGGGAGCTTCCTGAGTGCTGTGCTAGGTGCTTTAAGCTCTCGTTGAGTTGTCTGGACAAACCGTGAAGTGGCGTCATGACATGGTTAAGTTCTCAAACCTTGGAGTTAGACATCCAGGGCTGACACTCAGCCCCACCACCTATTACTCTGTGGGTTTGGTTACTCATCCTCTCTGAATCTCAGTTCTCCTCTTGTCCAGTGGGGGTGATAATAATATTTCATTGGGCTGTTGTGAGGATTAAATAAGTAAAATGTGTTATAGTGTTCAGCTTAGAACTTGGCCTGTGGAGGGGCCCAGCCAGATTGTTGCGGATATGTTCATCATCCCCATTGCTGAGGAAACTGAGGCTCAGGGAAGAGAACTGGCTTGCCCCAGGTTACCTTTCCAGAACAAGGCTTTATGACCACCACCCCCATGCTGGCCAGGCCTTTCAGACCTGGTGTTAAACCTAAACAGAAAATGGCCTATGAACTGCTACAAGCAAACTTGACAAATTTGTGAAACAGAGATGCCTCTTCCAAGCACAGTGATTTGGCTGGATGGTGACCACCTGGACTATTTCAGAAGATAGTAAGCTTGCAATCCCCAGAGATGTGTGCTAGGGCTTAGAAGGCCCTTTGCTGCCCTAAAGTTGGGGTTTCTATGCCCTCCTACACCCCAAAGATGACTGCTTATGAGCCCTAGGATGTTTTGGGGAGACCGCATTTCCTGGGCAAGGAAAAGTACGGGCAGCAGTGGCAATCACCCCACCCAGCCAGTGCCTCTGGCCATAGCAATGTGGCCCTAGGTTTCTCTCTAACTCATATGGCTTGTGGTTTGTGAAACCCGTGTAACGGGGCCCAGCACAAAGTGATGCTCAGTAAATAATATCACCCATGATGATCATCATCACTCTCTTCAGTGTGACTATACTTCTATATTCAGATGGGTAAAGTAAGAACAAGGAAGGGAAAATGACTGGCCCAAGGAGTCAGAGGCACCTTATAATAGGACCTTAGTAATAACAGAGAAAAAGGTCAGGTATTGGGAGTGCTGAGTTCTAATTTCGTCTCTGCTCTTAGTTCAACTGATGAATTTTTCCTTCCATCCCTCAGTGATGATATCTATGAAAGTTTAATCTCATTCTTTTCTTATTCTGGACCCAGTTGTACCAAAAAACTGGATCTTGTTTTAAAACTAAGCTTCAGATCAAATGGTGATTCTTTGAAATTGACAAACCTTTAGCTCGACAGAGCAAGGAAAGAGAGAAGACTCAAATTACTAAAATCAGAAACAAAAGAGAGGAGGGCATTCCTACCACCATTACAGAAATAAAAAGTATTATAAGGGAATACTAGGCACAACTAAATGCCAACAAATTTGATAACTTGGATGAAAATGGACAAATTCCTAGAAAGACAAATTGTGGAAATATATTCAGGAAGAAATAGAAAACCTGAATAGACTAGTAAATAATAGAGAGATTGAATTAGAATCAAAAAACTGCCCCAAAAAGAGAAACTCAGGACCAGGTAACTTCACTGGTAAATTCTACCAAATATTTCAAGAAGAATTAATACCAATTCTTCACAAATTCTTCCCAAAATGAGTTGGGAACACATCCCAACTCATTCTATAAGGCCAATATTATCCTGATACCAAAACCAAGCAAAGACATCACAAGAAAGCCACAGCTCAATATCCCTTATGAAGACAGATATAAAAATCAACAAATACTAGCAAATGAAATTCAGTAGCATATATAACAAAATGGATTATACACCATACCAAAGTGGGATTTATTCCAGCAATGCATGGTTGGTTTCACATCTGAAAATTAATTTACGTAATATGCCATATTAATAGGATAAAGATGAGAACCACACGATCATTTCAATAGACTCCAAAAAGGCTTTTGACAAAATTTAATACCCCTTCATGATAAAAAACTCAACAAACAAGCACTGGAAGAGAACTTCCCCAACCTGGGAAAGGGCATCTATGAAAAGCCCAAAGCTAACATACTTAATGGTGAAAGACTTAATGTTCCCCCTTAAGATCAAGAATAAGACAAGGATGTCCATTCTGGCCACTTTTATTCAAAATTGTTCTGTAGGTTCTAGCCAGGCCATTTATGCAAGAAAATGAAATTAAGGTATCCAAACTGGAAAGGAAAAAAGTAAAACCCTATTTGTAGTTGATATGATTTTGTATGTAGAAAATCCTAAAGAAAAACTATTAGAACTAAGAAATTAGTTCAGCAAGGTTGCAGGAGGCTGGGCACAGTGGCTCACGCCTGTAATCCTAGCACTCTGGGAGGCTCAGGTGGGAGGATTGCTTGAGCTCAGAAGTTCAAGACCAGCCTGAGCAAGAATGAGACCCTATCCCTACTAAAAATAAAAAAATTAGCAGGGTATTGTGGCGAGCACCTGTAGTCCCAGCTACTCGGGAGGCTGAGGCAGGAGGATCGCTTGAGCCCAGGAGTATGAGGTTGCAGTGACACTACGATGACACTGCTGTACTCTACCCAGGGTGACAGAGTGAGACTCTATCTCTAAATAAATAAATAAATAAATAAACAAACAAACAAATAAATGTTGCAGATACAAAATCAATATAGAAAAAAAATCAATATAGAAATATCAGTTGTATGTCTGTACACTGTGATGAACAATTCAAAAATGAAATTAAGAAAACAATTCCATTCACAATATCACAAAAAGAATAAAATATTTAGGAATAAATTTGACAACAGTTAACAGAAAATGTATAGTCTGACAACTCCAACTATTGTTGGGGGAAAAAAAACCTAAATAACTGGAAAGATATCCATGTTCTTGGATCAGAAGACTTAATATTGTTAATATGACAAAACTTCTCAAATTGATCTACAGATTCAGTACAATCCCCATCAAAATTCTAGTGGTCTCTTTGCAGAAATTAACAAGTTGATCCTATAATTCAAAATCCTGGAAATCCAAGAAACCCAGAACACCAAAAAAAAGTTTGAAGACTCGCTCTTCCCAATATCAAAACTTACTACAAAGCTATGGTAATCAAGACACCACGGTGCTGCTATAAGAATAGATACATAGATCAGTGTAATAGAATTGAGAGTCCAGAAATAAAACATCTATGTCAATTGATTTTCATTTTTGCCAAGACCTTAATGGGGGAAAAAAGAGTCTTTTCAACAAATGGTCTTGGCACAACTGGATATTCACATCCTAAGAATGAAGTTTGATCCCTTCTTCACACCTATACTCAAAAATTAATTCAAATCGTGTTAAATACCTAAATATAAAACTCATAGACGAAAACATAGGCCTAAGTTTTTGTGACCTGGATTAGGCAGCGATTTCTTAAATATGACACCAAAAGTATAAACAATCAAAGAAAAAAATAGATAAACTGGACTTTATCAAGATTCATATTTTTTGTGCTTTAAGGGATACTACCAAGAAAGTAAAAAAACAACCCACAGAATGGGAAAAAGTATTTGCAAATCATCTATCTGATAAGGGATTTATATGTAGACTACATAAAGAACTCTTACAACTCAATAAAGGTAACCCAATTTCAAAATGCACAAAGGATCTGAATAGACCTTTCTCCAAAGAAGATATACAAATGAGCAGTACACATATGAAAAGATGTTCAACATCATTAGCCATCAAGGAAATGCAAATCAAAACCACAGTGTGATACCACTTCACACCCACTAGGATGGTCATGATCAAAGGGACAGATGGTAGGAAGTATTGGTGAGGATGTGGAGAAACCGGAACCCTCACACACTGCTGTTGGGAATGTAAATGGCGCAGTTGCTTGGGAAAAGAATTTAGCAGTTCCTCAAACGGGTTAAACAGAGTTACCGTATGACCCGGAAATTCCAATCCTAGTTCTAGTCCCAAGAGAAACAAAAACATGCCCATACAAAAACTTGTACATGATTGGTTATAGCAGCACAGCTCTGTGAACATACCAAAATCCTTTGAATAGGTCAATTGTATGGCGTGTGAATTATATTTCAATAAAACTATTGCGTAAATATTTTTAACTTAGTTTGAGTAGAACTTGTAGGCGCTGTTGGGGAGGGGCAGGAACGAATCTCGAGCTACCGCTGTGTGCTGCCAACATGATCTGCATTTTGCATGAGTTACCTCGTTCAGTTTGTGGAATGGGACAGCCTCGATTTCTCAGTGAGGGAAAAGCACCTTTTAGTCACCAAGGTCTTTCAAGTTCAATGAATAATCACCCAAAAATTCCAATTAAGTTTAGCAGTTTTTTGCCTCTACTGTTTTGGTAGTCATATATTCTATTTCTATTCATTCCACAATTACCTCAGAAGTTTTACATTGCACATTTAACTTTAAGTCTGTTTTGGTATTTGTGGAATGAGGGTTTTTCACAATGATTTGTCCATTGCTAGAAATATACATCATACGCAGGGATTATATAACAAAGCCAGGTCTCTAGCACAGGTCTGTAGACTTTCACTTCCTTTTTTTTGACCACATAATAGTTGCCCTTTAAGTAAATGCGGTCCTAGTACAGTGTTTTCAAACTGTTGACCACGACCATAGTAAAAAATAATTTTGTTATAGTTCACTATACATATAACTAATTCACAAAATAACAGTGGGGTGCACTCTTATACTTTCTATTTCATTGTTTAAATTCTGGTCATGACACTAAACTGATTTTATAACCCACCAGTGGGTCACAACCTGCAGTTTGAAATACACTGACCCAGTGAACTTCTTTAATCATTTCCTATTCCCTGTTATTAATTTTAGGATATGTCTACTTTTATCTCTTTGCAAGGAAAAATAACCTCAATCGAGCTGTTTTTTCATCTGGCTCATTATGAATTTTTCTGTGGTCTGTAGTCTTGGACCAGCCTTTAGTGCTACCTAGTTCCTTCCTTTAAGCCAAGCATGTATTGACCCTTGTATCTGACCACATGCAACCCAGTGTCAGGCACCAGCAGGCATGCAGGTAGATTAGAGCCCAGTTCTTGAGAAGTGACACCATGAAGCTTAAGCCTAGACAAGTACTTGACCAAGGTGTGGCAAGTACGTAAGCTCCTTCGCGGCTCTGAGATCACAGTGAGGTCAGTGAAGGCTGCAGAGAGGACAGCTCTGAGTGGAGAAAGAGCAAGGGGGAAGGGTGCCAGGAGATGTTTGCAATTTAGCAGAAGTAGGGAGTCACTGATGGCTTTTGAATCAGATACTCAGGAGATCAAATGAAGGTTTTAGGAAAATTAGTTCAGCAAGTCTATTCAACATTCATTCAACATGCTGTATTAAGCACCTTCTATATTTTGGGCTCTGTTCTAGGCATTCTAGATGCATCAGTGAACAGAACAGACAAGCATCCCTGCCCTCGTAGACCTTGTATTCCAGCAGCAGGATTGGGGGGCGAGGGAGTCAAGCTTACATGCTCGTGAGCACTATAGTGCGTGGAAGATGATAAGTGCCAAGAAGGAGGGCGAGGGAGACGGGGAGTGGCGTGCATGGGGCTGCATTCAGATGACTGGGGCGTGGGGACGAGGCTGGGCTCCAGCAGTGCCAGCGGGAAGGGCAGAGGGACAGGACGGTAGGGCTGTCGGCCTCATGCTCCTCTCTGCTCGTGTCCTTTCAGAAACACCATGCACAATATCCGTGGCAACAAGCAAGCCCAAGGAACAGGCCGTGGACCTCCAGGGGAAGAGTCTTCACCCAGCGGGGAGCCTCAGAGGGAGGAGCAGCCCTCGGCCCCTGACCCCAGCACCCCAGGTGAGCCTGTGTCCATTCCGAGCCCCCTTCAGAGACCAGCCCCTCGGGGCTGGAATGAGTGCTTTCTCTCCTCCCCGCGAACCAGCGTCTGTGTGTTCGTGTGTGAACCAGCGTCTGTGTGTTCGTGTGTGCCTTAGTCTGCTTGGGCTGCTGTACCAAAATACCATAGACTGTAGGGCTTATTAACAGACATTTGTTTTTCTTAGTTGTGAGGAGGCTGCAAGGTCCAAGGTCAAGGTGCCGGCAGGTTTGGTGTCCTGTGCAGGACTTCTGGGCTTGCAGTCAGCCACCTTCTTGCTGTGTGCTCACATGGCTGAAAGAGAGAGCTCTGGTCTCTTTTTCTTCTGCGGTCGCTAATCCCGTCATGGGCTCCAGCCTCATGACCTTATGTAAATCTTATCACCTCCCACAGGCCCCACGTCCTAATACCGTCACCCTGGGGATCAGGCTTCAACATGTGAATTCAGGGGACACATTCAGCCTACAGCAGTGTGTCGAGATGAAACTCTCCAGGTCGCTCCTGGATTCCCAGAAGTCTAGGAGCAATGGTTTTTTGTTTTTTTAATTGTGGTAAAATATACATAACAAAATTTACCATTTTACCATTTTTAGTTGTCCAGTTCAGTGGCATTAAGTACATTCACACTGTTGTACAACCATCACCACCATCCTTCTCCAGAACTTTTTCATCTTTCCAAACTGAAACTCTTAGCAAGGATTCTTTAAGAAATAAAAGAAAAAATCTCTCATTTTTTCTTTCCTTCTTTCTTACTTTAAAAAAAATATATATATATATATACGCACGTGTGTGTATATATGTGTGTGTGTGTGTGTGTGTGTGTATACGGAAAGAGTATAAAAATGCCTTTCTGGGGTGATCATGATCAGATCTGCCTGAAGACGTGGAGCAAATGGCCTTTAAGTTGACATAGCATTTTATTGTTTCTTTTGTGACACGTGAGTGACTCACACCATCAGGAGGTTGGCTTCTTTGGAATTGGTATTGGTACCCTTTGGAACAGTCAGTGCCTGGGGAGGCCCCAGCAGGGCACAATGAGCAGTCCAAGAGAAGGTTGGTACTGTAGCAAGCAGATCAATAATAATAATAATAAAGCTAGACTTATATAACAGTTATTTTGTGCTGGGCTGCACTAAGCATTTTTTTAGTAATAACTTTATTAAGATATAGTGCATATATTATTTACCAATTTAAAATGTGCAAGTCAGTGGCTTTCAGTATATCCACAGAGTTATGTAACCATTACTGTAATCGATTTTAGAATATTTCTATTACCCCATAGAAAACCTGCATCCTTTAGCCATCAACCCCGAATCCTCAATCCTATAACCCTAGGTGACCACTAATCTACATTCCGTCTTACTTTCTGTCCTGTTCTGGACGTTGGCTGTCCTTTGTGACTGGCTTCGTTCATTTAGGACAGTCTTTTCAAGCTTCATCTATGCCCTCTAATCACTGACCAGTTTACTCCTTACAGCTGCTGGACTGGTAGATATTGTCGTTATCCTCATTTGATAAATGGGGAAACTGAGTCATGGAAAAGTGGAGTGACTTGCTTATGGCCCTACAGTAAGTGACAGAACCAGGATTTGGACCTAGCAGTCTGGCCCCATACTGCTGCTTGAAGCCTCATTTTCCAAGTCAGTGATTTTTCAAACAACATCTTTATTGCCAGACCCTTGTCACCCTAAACAAGCTCTAACATAGAAAGCAGATAAAAGCAGAGTTGAGGCGAGGCTGGGAGTCTGGGCTCCTCCTCTGCTCCTCCCACTCCACCTTCCCATCCGGGTCAGCCATTGAGACACTCACACGAAATCCCAGGGTACTGACTTAGGCCTCATTTTCTCCAACTATAAAATGGGTGCAGTGATTCCTACCCCACCTGTCCTCAGGGATGGTGGACAGTAGTGTTATGAGAGGACAGCAGGGCTCCAGGGAGTCTCCCTGCTGTCCTAGACCCCATAACAGGAAAGAGAAAGAGGCCTTGCATCCCTCTGAGCTCTGCAGTCTGCTTTGTACAGATTTCTCTTAGATCTGGAACAAGACCATTCTGTTCTTGCACCCAGCAAGGTCAAGGAGTGTCTGGTTGCTGTCATCGACTGGAGTTCTTCATCTGTTCAAGACTGGCTGGCCCTTGGCCTGGTCTCATGCTAAGTCCTTCATCCCCCAAGCCCTGGAGTCCCATAGCACATCCTTCTTCTTAACACCTTTAACACCTTAGTCCCAAAAGGATTGGTGATAGTTTACTAAAATACATATTAGGGGAAAAGTAAGTGAGTCATTTGGGTTAAGAGATTTAGATAAAATAAAGATAAGATCCTACAGAATATCTGAAGGTAGGTAGCAAATGTGGCTCTGAGCGTCCCAGCAGCCAAGGCAAAGAGGGAAGTGCAAGTAGTTAGATTATTTCCAGTGTCCATATGACTAAAAACATATTTTCTTAGAAGAGGCAAAGCTTTTTCTGGCACTGGGCTGAAGGGATTTCTCCTGCTAGGGCCTCGTAACAGACATGATGTATATGTCCCATGGGAACAAGTTTCCCCAGGTCCTTTGACCACATAATCAGGCCACTAAATGTCCCTTGATATAGGCCGATGGAAGAGCCCTGAAGCACAGGCTGGGGTCAGGGCAGGACAAGGCAGCCCAGGGGAGTGATTCTATGATGTTGGATTTGATTTAAGAATAAAATTTAGTGACTTGAAAACAGTGGTCAGCAAAAGTTTTCTGTAAAGAGCTAGATAGTAAGTATTTAAGGCTTTGTGGGCCACAGGGTCTCTGTTGCAAGTATTCAGCTCTGCCTTTGAGTAATGAAAGCAGCCACAGGCAACACATAAACAAATGGGCATGTCTGTGTTCTAATAAAACTTTATTTATAAAAACAGACTGTGGGCCGGATTTGACATGTGAACCATAGGTTGCTCTCCCTTGCTCTAGAAGAAATATTAATAAAAGGACTGTGCATCCTCGAGGTAATCAATTATGGAAATATGTCTCCTAACTTAGCTTGGAATAAGAATCAAGTAAGAGTTTGAGCTGCTCTCTGGAGCAAGAATGCAGAGTATTCATTCTGTGTTTCTACCAACAGGCAGATCTATGTGCTTCAAAAATCTCCCAGTGGGTAAAGGTGGGATCTTGCCATAGAAACAACATCCTGCCAGGGCTTGTGCCTACAGAGAAGGCTACCTGGCAAACACCAGCAGGGTAGCATGAGACAGATCCGTGCAGCTTGGGATCTGAGGGGAGACAGGCACAGTTAGCAGATGGGTTAAATGACTCGACCAGCACTGTGTAAATAATGCTGCATTTTAACAAGCCCTTCAGGTGCTTCTGAAGCAAGCTCAAGTTTAAGAACCACTGATGTCGGCCAGGCGCGGTGGCTCACGCCTGTAATCCTAGCACTCTGGGAGGCCGAGGCGGGTGGATCGCTCAAGGTCAGGAGTTCGAGACCAGCCTGAGCAAGAGTGAGACCCCGTCTCTACTAAAAATAGAAAGAAATTATCTGGACAACTAAAAATCTATATAGAAAAAATTAGCCGGGCATGGTGGTACATGCCTGTAGTCCCAGCTACTTGGGAGGCTGAGGCAGGAGGATCTCTTGAGCCCAGGAGTTTGAGGTTGCTGTGAGCTAGCCTGATGCCATGGCACTCTACTCTGGGGAACAGAGTGAGACTCTGTCTCAAAAAAAAAAAAAAACCCACTGATGTCATCAGTCCTAACCTCCGTGTTTCTCCTCTGAGCAGTGAGAGAGCCAGCGGATTCTCCAAAGCCTGCACCCAAGTCCTCTCTGACCACCAACCTCATTCAGAAAGCCAAGCGCCAGGGCAACACCTTCCCGCTCTTTTCTGAAGGACTCACGCGGAACCGAACTGCCCAGGAGAAAGTGGTGGCCTTGGAGCAGCAGGTTCTGATGCTCACCAAGGAGTTAAAATCTCAGAAGGTGAGCTCTGGCCCCGGGAAGGCTGCGGGCTCCAGGGGACCCCTCCAGATCTGGAGCCTTTTGGACAAGCTAGACAGGATGCATTCACCCATTAGCCCGGCTGGGCACCAGCCAGTCTGTGGTCTTTAAAGGCCAAACTGCAGAAGACTGGAAATGTGCTGTTGATTATCAGGAACATGCTGTCGTTCAAAGTAGGTGACAAAAGGCCACCAAGAGCAGGTGTCTCTGGAGTCCTACTTTAATAATTGTCTCTTGGACCCCCTCTGGAGGGCCACGCATGGTCTCAGCCTACACCCAAAAAAGGACTGTATTTGGAGGGGGGTGATCTGTAGGCAGGGTCACAGGAGGGGCTGCCGACAGAACTGGGGGATCTTTAACTTGGCAGCTGATGGCTGGGTGCAAATATCTGAAGGACAGTCCCAGGACAAAGAAAATAGGCAGTGTCTGTGTTGTCCCAGGGCTGACCCAGACCAACATGGAACAGTGTGATAGGGAGGAAGATTTGGGCTTAATATAGCAAGAAGTTAATTACTAGAGTTACAAAAAGAAAGAGATGGTCCTTGTAGAAAACAGATCTCATACACACAGACATTAAAATCATTCAAAAATCCTTCAACCCAGAGAGTGAGCCATATTAGAATCCAGGGGCTACCTCACCGTAGTAGGGACAGTCACAAGGCAGGGATGGCAGGGGCAGCCCCTCTTTTGCGTAATAAAAGCACTTACTTGTGCACTGTGGTTACCGTAGATCCCAAGGGCGTGGCCTTGGGGTGCCGCCAGTGGCGGGCTCCCTTCCCTCTGAGAAGGCCTGAGCTATTGTGTTTGCACTTTGGCTCCCCAGCCTCCTGCTCCGCTTCCTGACCCTCGCTCCAAAGGTCATAGGCTAGGGAGGTGGGGTGTGTACTCTATTTACTTCCGAATATTCTCCTGTACATTTTTTTTCCTTTTTGCCCTGTTTTTGGAGAAGACAGCCCAGAACAACACTCTCCCTACCTGGTTTTGCCCCTTCTTTGCCTTTCCTGCCCCGAAGAGGCGCTGACCACTGTTAACCGGTCTCAGGAGAACTGGCAGAGACCTCATTCTTGGCAGCTCAGGGATTGTGTTGAATGAAGAAGCAACTGGTGATTAGAGTTCTCAAAGGAGGGGGCTCACTCATTCATACCTTCTCAATCCGTGTGTTTATTCACCAAGCATTTATTTATTCATTTACTTTATTTATTTTTAGAGAAGTGATCTCTCTCTGTCACCAAGGCTGGAGTGCAGTGACACGATCGTAGCTCGCTACTGTTTCAGGCTCCCGGGCTCAAGCCATCCTCCCTCTTAGAGTGGAAAGGCTAGTAGGTGCTCAGGGTGTGGGTGGAGAAAGATCTCTCACAGCAATTAAGATATAAAAGTAAAATGTATTTTATCTTCTTAGAAGAGAGAGAGAAAGAGAAAGAGAGGGGAAAAAGAAAATGGGGGGAAGAGAGCAGGGAGACGGCGTGGCACCCCAAAGAAAGAGAAGGGGTGCCAGCAGCGAGGCCAAGTGGCTCACTGATTTTAAGAGGGACTAAGAGAGAAAAAAATAGTGCTGGCTGTCGGCTGATAACAAACGTGGCTGCAGGTAGATAACAAAAAGTGCAGGGATGTCAAAGTCCAGGACTTGGTTTCCTGCCTTCCTTGGAGACAGGATCATCACAGGAGATGTGACTGTCCTCGAGGTATGGTTGAGGCTATAGCTCATTCTTCTGCCGTTTACTCAGGAATTCTGTAAAAGCAGATTCTCAAAAAAACAATTTTGAAAAAAAAGAGATTTACATCTCTTTTCCGTCCATTCAGCTCTGTTCAGAAGTTGTGCAAAACAGAACTCCTGCAGGGTGCCTGTTAGCGAGAGAACTCATAGGATTGATCTTTAACTGTTACTGGGGAAATTGTAGGATTAGGTATTTTCCTGTTATTTTTGCAAGGCCGCCTCTTTCGCTCCCACCTTCGCCTCCCAAAGCGCTGGGATTCTAGGTGAGAGCCGCCGCGCCCAGCCCCGTCGTTATTAAGGCTGTGTTATGCGCACATGGCGTTCTGGGTTCGGGAAAGAACAGTGAGCCAGAGGCACAGGCCCAGCCCTTACCGCGCTTACCTTTCACGGCAGAGACAGGCATGAAGCAAATCCACACCCAAACGCGTAATTACACGTGAAGTCCCTGTCGTGCCACTCAGCACCCCGGCTATCTTTTCCTTTCGGCATCTTAGTGTTCCTGTTGGGGGGCTGCTGGACACCCTGAGAGCTGAGAGGGCGTTAACTGAGCCAGAGCAGCCACCCGGGCCCTGGACTAGTGTAGCTTCAATCCCAACCCGAACCCAGAAAGGGAAAGAAATCCTCCTTTCCCCTCATCTCCCATTCTTCCCAGAGTATGTGGGCAGCCTCCTTTGACTCAGCCTTTCTCTCTGAGGCATTAGGAATTGTCACATGAAGTAGAAAACTCCTGGGAGAGCTAGACTTCATTTAGGTTTGCTCCTGAGTGCCGTGCGCCCCTGGAGGACGCACCGTTCTCCAGTAATGAAGGCAAGAATCTTGGTGTATAATAAGGGTTGCCCAGGCTGTTGACAGCTCCGATACATTCAGAGTGAAAATGTCAGGAGAAAGTTGTGCAAGCACTAAAGAATCTGGATTTTTTTTTATCAGGCTACTTTAAAGTAAACCTCAGCTCTGTGTCCTGGGGCAGATGGTCCAGAGGAGAATGAGTCTTGTGGCTTAGCCTTTGACAATGTGAGTGGATTTGCATGCCCTCTGACCCTCTCACAAACACACTTTAGTCTTCAGGGTGACTCAGAGCACAGGCCTTTAAATGAGACAGCACAGGCCCAAATTCTGGCCCTGAGCAAGTTTCTTAGTCTCTCTAAGCCTCAGTTTCCTCTTCTACAAATGGAGTTACAGCCGTGTTCACTGGAGAGGCCTGTGCCCGGACTCAGAAAGCCCTGTGCCCGGACTCAGAAAGCCCAGAGCCTGGCACGCAGCAGCGGCCCACCGGGCGCAAGCTTTAGTGATGTGGGCTGTTACCGCGGCGTTCCCCACCCTCATGCTCTTTCCTTCCTGCCTTCCGGGGAGGGAGGCACCCCTCCGAGGGGCTCCGAGGCAACATGGAAGGGAGCCCAGCAGTGCCTCCAGCAACTGTACTCGTGGGGTCTTAGTGGTGGGGGAGCTCACGTCTGCATTCCACCTTAGGAAGCGGGGAACCTCAGCTCCCTAACTCTAGGCTTTCACTTTAGCCCAGATACCCAAACCAAAGAGAGGAAGGAGAAAGAGACTGACTCTTGGCCCAGACATGGGACAGAGGAAGCCAGGACAGACAGGACAACCTCTGGGTTCCCACTGGTGCCCCAGGCACTCAGAAATGCTCCTCGGAAAGTCTCTGTCCATCTGAGGCCCTCAGAGTCCAGGCCGTCCGCTGGGAGAGTGGCCCCCTGGACTCCCAGGGGCTACATCTGCAAGACACCTCCCTGTGTCTCTTCAGTAGGAAGGCACCATCTTGCTACCCCAAGCTTCAGGAGGACATGGGAATTCCTTTGCCAATGGCTTTAGTGACCCTTCAAAATTTGTACCTCAAACTCTGTTAGATGCTGTCGAGGGCACACTGAGGCTGAATCTGTCCTCGGGAACCTCACCATTTAGAGGGGAAGAGAAGATGGGAGCACAGGAACTGCGAGGATGCGGTGTGGCCCAGCGCTGTGCCGAGGCTTTCTGTGCGTTTTCTCTAGTCCTTACAGCAGTTATCATCCCCCTTTCCTGAAGAAGAAACTGAGGTTCTGATTTCCTGCATTCCTAGGGTCTCCCAGGGGCCAAGCCAGGGTTTGAGGGAGTGACTTGCCCATGGGCACACAGCTGCAGAAGCCAGGACTGGGGCCCTGGTCTCCTCTGTTTCCTCTCCTCTGTGATGTCACGGCCAGGGCTAGTAGCAGACACAGGCACCAGAACTGATCTTTAGAAAAAAGTGAGCACACCACTCCCTGCGCCTCCCTGCTGTCACAGTAAACCACAGGCCAACTCTGACACCCATTAGGCGCTGTCTCTCCCGGCACCCGCAGCACTGGCCCCGCAAGAGATTTGGACTCCCGGAGAGAGCACCAGATGGCTGATTGGCCGGGAGGCTCAGACCCTCCGCTGACAAAGTGGCACCCAGCCTGAAGACCGTCTGCCCCGGCAGATGGAAGGCTGTTGTCTGTGGTGATGTTGGCCATCTGTTGGCTGCCAGGAATGATGAACCCCTCCGGGACCCTGCCTGGGGCCCTCCGGGGCCACCCTAGCATGATCAGGATTACTGGGGAAAGGCAAGTCATTTGTTTGGGAAACTTGGTGCGGGCAACGTGTGGCCTCTCCCTTCCCTGGAACACCAGCCAGAGACTTCAGGGTGTATGTCCCCGGCCCTGGGCCTGACACCATGGAGGGAGGGTTGCGAGGGACCTTGGCCCTTTCAGCCTGGGAAAGGACTCTGGGCACACTTTCTCTGCATGGAGTAGGGGCCTTTGTATCCTTTTTAATTACGAGTAGTCGGAGGTTCAGTGAAGTGACCACCCTCTTAGATGCACCCCTGCAGATCTGGAACAGGACCTGAGGTCTGTGTGACTCCAAAGCCGGAGCATAATGTCCTCAAGGTTCATCCATGCTCCTTTTTAAGGCTTAATAATATTCTATTGTGTGTATATACCACATCTTTTTTATCCATTCATTGGTCAGTGGACATTTGGGTTGTTTCCACCTCTTTGGTATTGCGAATAATGCTGCTATAAACATAGGTTATTTCCGTTTTTAAAAAGAAGTTGATAATCCATGAACCACACAGCACGGAGAAGTGAAAGGATCCTGGATTAGGAGTTGGGCACCATCTGTTGGAGTCTAGTTTTCCCACACGATCCACCAGCTCCCTTTAGTCCTCCCCCTTCTCCTTCCTTGGGCTTCAGGCTCCCCATGTGACAGCAAGGCCACTGGACAGGAAGGTCCCCCAGGGTCTTTCCAGCCTCTAGGCTTCCTGAATCCATAATCCATTCCCACTCCTCTCTCGTGCCCACTGAGCTTCCCTCCCCTTCCCTGGCTCTCTGCCCCCAGCCTATCTCCTGTGGTGCAGAGGTTCTCGGGGTGGGCAGGGAGCCTCCTGGGCTGGCATCTTGGTCTTGGGTTTTGAGAGCCAGATGGGGGAAGAAGGAGAAAGAGGTAGTGAAATGAGCTTTCCTTGGGGGAAAGACACCCATGGGATTCTGCTCCTAGGGCAAGTCTGAACAGTGGTGTCTGTTCGTTATTTCACCGGGCAGTTACCCAAGGTAATCTTCAAATCTCAGAAAATGGTCTAGGCTCTGGTCATCCTGGAGCCACAGGAATGTTAATCTGTCTCAGCCGAGGCCTGGGAAGCTCATTCCAAACATTCCAGACATGTTCCTTTGGTTTATACTCATTGTCCTGTCCCCACCCCACCTGCCTGCCACACCCCAGGGCTCCCACAGTGCTGCACTAGCTCATCCCTTCCAGGTCTTTGCTGGGGCTGTTGATGCTGAGTCTGGAAGGCCCCCTCTTCACCTCCCACCCGCTGCTTGACCGTCTCTGGCCCTTCTGTCTTCATGGCTTAGTCTAAACTGCTCTGCCTTTCTGCAGAGTGTCCTGGTCTTCCCCCAACCCGCACCCCAGGCAGAAGTTGGTGTTTCCCCACTCTGGGCCCCCACAAACACCCTTGCTCCCGCGGTAAATCATTCCATTGCTGTGGGTCACCTTTGCTCCCGCCAGTCCTTGCGGTCCTTGGAGGCAGGAACTGTGACCAGTCCCTCTCTGGGCCCCAGCTGCTGGCACAGGGCCTGGCACTGAGTGGTGCTTGATAAAGTTTGGACGGATGGGTGGGTGAATGGGTGGAAAAGAGGACCAGAGAAGGGATGATCACTAGTACCCAGGTTTCAGAAGATGCATGCCAACGTGGTCTTGTCATTAGCTTCTCAAATAAAGTCATGATTTTTGGCAGTTCTCCAAAGTGGAATTGTTCTTAACAAATAACCCTACCCAGCTGATCCATTCATTTAAAATGCTTTGGCGTGTACAGTCAACATGTCTTTAGGAAACCATGTTTTTCCAAATGAGACTGGCACAGCGCAGGGCAAGGTGGCCTCAAAGCACCACCTGTCTGGGGTGAGGTCCACGTGAGCCTGGCTGCTGGGCTGCCCGGCCGCTGGTGTTCTGATCCTGCCCCTGAATGAATTCACACCCCTGCTTTGGGGCAGGACAGGCCTGAGTTCTGGGAAGATTCGAGGCTTGAAGGCACAGGGAGCTGAGCAGACCTTGAGTTTGCACAGGAATCAATTGCCCCTGCCAGGGGAAAAATCCAGGTCTTGTCACTGAACTTTCTGGTGCTTCCTTCCGCCAGCCTTGCGGGCATCATTTGGCGGGCCGAGGGGGCTAGGGACAGACAGATTGAGTGAGGCTGTCTCTGTGTGGCTGTGCATGGGGATTGCCAGTGTGTTTCCTCTCTAACGCTGCCTCAACTTGATTGGTCTGCCTGTTTGGATGCTATATTGAGAAGGATTCTGAGGCCCCAAGTAGGCTTTGCAGGGACTATGGAGATTAACTAGTAACGTCTGCCACAGGGGTGAGAGGGAAGAGTAATGCCACGTGGCTTCTACCCTGGTTTTATCACTGACCAAGCACACACAGGCTTGGAATCTGGATAACTGGGATTGAATTCCACTCTACTCTGCCGGGTCTCAGTTTGTTCATCCCTGAAATGGACATGTACACGTCAAGGTATGGGCTCAGCTACAGTAACAAAGAAGTCTCACAGTACCATGGCCTTAAACAAATGAGAAGTTTATTTCTGTCTCACATTAAGGAATCCCCAGGTAGGTGGACAGCTCTGAGCTGGTGGGGCAACTCTGCCTTCCTCAACATGGACCTTCTGCTTGTGGGTCCAAAGGTGGCTAGTTCTTGCCACTTCCCAGCCAGAAGCAAAGGGAGCTGGGCCAGGGGAGTGTGGGCCCGGTGGTTTAAAAGCTGCCCGCATCACTTTTCATTTCCCATTTAGGCAGAATAGGCACTTGGCCACACCCAGCTGTGACTGGCTGGGAAATGGAGTCTTGAGCTGGGGATCCCGGGGCCCAGCCAACACCCTCTTGAACAGAGAAAGGAGAAGTGAATGTCGGGATGAGGCGCCCCGGGTGCCGCTGGGCACCTCTCAGGGTGGCCAGGAGAACTGGAGATAACACACGCCCCGCCTCTGGCATCTAACGGGCCTTCCCCACGCTCACAAGACGCTTCCCTGTCCCTGCCCAGGAGCTGGTGAAGATCCTGCACAAGGCGCTGGAGGCCGCCCAGCAGGAGAAGAGGGCGTCCAGCGCATACCTGGCGGCGGCCGCGGACGAGGACCGGCTGGAGCTGGTGCGGCACAAAGTGCGGCAGATCGCAGAGCTGAGCAGGCGGGTGGAGGCCCTGGAGCAGGAGCGGGAGAGCCTGGCGCACACGGCCAGCCTGCGGGAGCGGCAGGTGCAGGAGCTGCAGCAGCACGTGCAGCTGCTCATGGACAAGAACCAGGCCAAGCAGCAGGTCATCTGCCAGCTCTCTGAGAAGGTCACCCGGGACTTCATACGCCCCCCTGACCAGCCCTCTGTCCCCGCTGACGCTGCTGACAGGGACTTCCTGAGCCAGCAGGAGAGGCTAGAGCACCTGAAGGTAGGGGCCCTGCCTCCGGGGCCTGGCGCCAGTCCTCCCCTGGGTCCTCGGGAGGGGTGTGCTGTCCACCCTAGGGTTCTCTAGGTGGTGTGAGGATGGCCCTTTATCCTGGACGATGCACACTGGACTTGGGTGTTCGTGGAAGCACTACTCTATGCTTCCTCACTTTCTTCGCCAGAAAGCCCAGTGCCGTTTGACCTTGATGTCCTGGCCTGCTGAAAAGTAAGGCTGTCTCTAGAGTATCAAGGTAGAGATGAAAGAGCCCAAGACCAGCTGAGTCTGGGGTCTGGCCGGTCAGCCTCCTTTACTACCATCCCGATGCCCCCACGACCCCCAGGGTGACCCCCCCACCAGCATTTCTGCACACAGTACCAGTGACCTGCAGCTGGCTGGGGCTTGCTCACGGTAATGGCAATAATCTCTGCTCCCGTTTATAGAACTTACGGAATGTTTACCGCGTGCCAGGCCCTGTCCTCAGTGCTCTACTTGTGTCCTCTCCTTTAGTCCTTGCTTCAACCCTAGGAGGCAGTCACTTGTTTGCGCCCCACTCTACAGATGCAAATTTTGAGGCTGGGAAAGGTTAAGGATCTTGCCCAAGGTCATGTGCTGAGGAAGGTGGGGAGCTGGAATTAGGGGAGGCTCAGATCCACCGACGAGTCTGCCTGCTCTGCTGCCTCTCCTGGCTACTGCCGCCACCCTACTCCCCCTTCCCTCCCCGACTCTGTCCCTGTCTCTCCGCAGGCTGCCGTGTCTCACAGGGACCAGTGGCACCACAGGGGCAGGAACTTTACTTGAGGCATGTCACCTGCTGTGGGCTGCAGCCTCCTTTCTAGATGGTGCTGACAGGAGCTGCACCACCCGGAGGCCCGAGGCTGGGGAGGGCGCTCCCTGCCCCCACGGGGCCTAGAGCAGTCATGTAACCAGGGCAGTCCTGCCCTAGACCCTGCCATTCAGAGCCACATATGTGCAGTCATGCACTGCACAATGGTGTTTGTTTTTTTTTTGTTTTTTTTTTTTTGAGACAGAGTCTCACTGTGTTGCCCGGGCTAGAGTGCCATGGCATCATCCTAGCTCACAGCAACCTCAAACTCCTGGGCTAAAGCAATCCTTCTGCCTCAGCCTCCCGGGTAGCTGGGACTATAGGCATGCGCCACCATGCCCGGCTAATTTTTTCTATGTATTTTTAGTTGTCCAATTAATTTCTTTCTATTTTTAGTAGAGACGGAATCTCACTCTTGCTCAGGCTGGTTTCAAACTCCTGAGCTCAAACAATCCACCCGCCTTGGCCTCCCAGAGAGCTAGGATTACAGGCGTGAGCCACCGCGCCCGGCCCACAGTGGTGTTTTGGTCGATGAGATTATAAAGGAGCTGTAAAGTTCCTATGACCTAGTGACATGGTAGCCATTGTAACATTGTAGCATACACGTTGCCCTTTCTATGTTTAGATGTGTTTAGATACACAAATACCACCGTGTTATCCTTGCCTCCCGTGTTCAGGACAGGGACATGCTGGACAGGGTGGTAGCCTAGGAGCAATAGGCCTAGGTATGCAGTAGGCTACACCACCTAGGGCTGTGTAAGTCCACTCTATGGTGTTCGCACAACAACACAATTGGCCAACAATGCATTTCTCAGAGCAGATCCCTGTCATTAAGCCACACGTGACCGTCCATGCCTACATATAATCTTGGGAACTCCTGTGCTGCGGTATCAAGGAACTGCTGGGTGTGGGAGGTGGAGAAAGAAAAGAAAAAAGAAATCAGGAAGCTTTTGGGAGAAAAGCTCTCAGTAGGCAGCTCTGACCAGTGGCCACTGCCCAAGCTTTGCAGCCACACGGGCTCGTGTCTTACTAGCTATGTGACCCTGGGCAAGTTATCTCACCTCTGTATAAAAGGGCCCAACCGGTCCTGCCTCACAGGGTTGTTAGAAGGATAAAGGAAGAGGACACGAAACCCAGGTCCCCTTCCCTTTGTTTCAGCAAACACTGAAAAACCACATAACCAGTTGCTGAATCTTTTCCCTTATTTAGTCTGAAATCAGAGATTCTTTTGGGTTAAAACAAAACCAAACCTTTCAAAGGCAGACGGAGCTAGGTGTTGTCAGAGAGCTACCAGTCCTCCGCACGGCAGGCAGTGAGCACTGCTTCCCACCTGTCCTGCGCCAGCCCAGAGCCTTCCTCTTCTCTCCGCCCATCCTGCTGGAATCCACTATTCAAGACCCAGTAGAGTGGCCGGGATGTAGAGGTCAGAGAAATAGGTCAGCCGGGTGGCTCCAGACTGCCCAGAGAGCTGATTGTAATCGTGGGCTCACCTCGGAGACTGAGTGTGTCCCTGAATTTACATGCTCAGGAATTTATAATATTTTATCAGCAAAGCCAGATATGAGGAGACTCCGGGTGTGGATTCACATTAACCAAACATACATTTCCACGTGCTCCTCGGAGGCCCAGTGTTTTGTGCTTGGAAGAGTTGTATGTACTTGGTGTTCCTTATTTTCTAGCTTTTAGAAGATTCATCAAACCTCCATTGTCTTTCAGTTTGGAGAGAGAGTGTTCACGTTTCTTGCTCGCCCTGTGAGTGAGGACACCCAACTTTAGGGAAATGCCCCCTTGTTACTGAGACTGTCGTTTTGGAAATAGGATCATTGACCTCTTGAATATCAAAGCTGGGAGGACTGGGCAATCTCGTCTGCTCCCTCATTTTCCGGCAGGGACAGCTGAGTTGGGGAGAGGGAAGGACTGACCCAGGGCCAGGCAGCACGGGCGGCAGGGCTGCAGCTACAGCTGGGCCTCCCACGCCAGGCCACTGCCTTCCACACTCGAGCACAGGGCCTCGTCCACGGGCACGTCCCAGAGAATTCCAGGTTCCTGATCCCTGCAAAGGCAGGCAGGCAGGCTCTCCTCTCGCCTGTCCCCCTTCTCTGCTGTGTTTTCCTTTTTATTGTTCCACTGGTGACTGTCATGTGACTTTTCTCTTCTCTGAGATTTCTCTTTTTCCTCCCTACAGTTCTGAGCCAAGAAGAGCACTCAAGGTAGGGCCATGAGCTGAATGGGAAGGGGCAGTCACATCCGCCTCCCTGTCTGGCATGTGTGTGCCTTCCCTGGGGCTGGGAGCAGGGTACCTTAGGTGACAAAAGCCTTCTTTCCAAAGCCTTGGGAATACCCAAGAGCAACTCCAGGCCTGGGGTGGTAACAGGGAGGCAGGACCTGAAGTGTCTGGCGCAGTCTCCAGTGCTGGAGTCGGGGCTGTTGCTTAGCGGTGAGCACCAGCCGTGGCTGCACACAGCTGGCTTTGGATCCTGGCTCCCTGCCAGCCCGGACCGAGGGGAACTTACCTTCTCTGGGCTTGTTTCCTCATCTGTGGAATGGCAATTGTAGTCCTTTACTTCTTATCCGCAGCACGGTGGTAAAGATTAAATTGAACAAAATAACCAATGCCAGGGTGATGGGCCTGCTCACAGCAGGAACTCAGGTAATGGCAGATCCTTCCCTCCCTTGCCGGGGGGCTCGTTGCATTTTCCCAGGCTTTGGAAGAGTTGCAGCAGCAGGGGGGCAAATGACCTGGAGGGACAGTGTGGGAAATGGGGGAGAGCTCAGTGAGGGAGAGGACACGCACACTGCACTTGCCACATGCCGGCCACCTTCTAACCCTTTTGCGTATATCAACTAGGTGACTCCCCTAGCAACCCCTTGATGTCGTGCTGTTTTCATCCTCATTTTCCAGATGAGGGTTGAGGCACAGAAAGGTAAAGTGACTTGTCCAGGGACTCGGTGGTTAAGACAGGATTTGCATCCGGGCAGCGCGGCCCCAGCGTCCCTGCCCCGACCTCCAGGCAATGCCAGCATCGTCTTCGATGTGCTGTTATCATGCTGTCTGCCGAGTGGGAGAGGCCACACAAGCCCACGTGCATTCAGCAAGGAGGCTTCAAAGGACAACCCTTGAAGGGTGGGGACTAGAGTTTTGGCATCCCGGTGGGTTCCAGCTGCGAGGGAGCTCAGAGGGTGCCTGGCAGGAAGTCCCATGGTTGGGACTTCAGAAGCAAATGGACCTAGGCTCAGTCGCCCTCTGCCTTATACTGGCTGTGTGGCCTTGGGCAAGCTGCTTCCCCTTTCAGAGTCTCTGAGACCACATCTGTGTTCCCAAGAGCCATAAAAGGCATTCCTTCCGGGGTTGCTGGGAGGATTAAACGAGATAATGTGCTCAGAGTATAGTGTCATGAGGTGATGCCAGGGTGATGCAGGGAGCCTCGCAGCCTCTGTGTTCATGAGTTTTCTAAATCTCCAGGCACTGAAATGTAAGTCTCTCCTGGGAGCAGGGAGTGGTCCTGGAGAATCCTGAACCACAGGAGGTTGGTCCTTGTACCGCCAGTCTCCCCGCCCCTGCCACATAAGCACGAGGAAATGGGAGTCCCAGGGGAAGCAGGCAGAAACTTGCCCGGAAGAGCACTGGCACACACGGACAGCATTTCTGAGAGGCAGAGAGCCTGGGTTTTGATCTGGGGCAGCGACGTGGTTGGAGAAGAAGGGGACGGGGCCAGGGAGCTGGAACTGCCTGGGTCCAACCAGGAGAGAGCAGAAGGCACGCTTAGCTGGAGCACAGCCTCTTGGCCTAGGCACCACGGGAGCCCCACTGAGTGGTGAGAGGCCACAAGATGAGGTCAGCCTGGGCCGTTCATTTCCAGCCACAGGAGCCCTGGGAACAGGCCCTCTCAGCAGGTCGGCGTCTAGGTGGAGGGCAGCAGACCCTGGGCATGCATTGGAGCTTCTGGGCTGGGAGGACCTTGGGGATCATCTTGGCCAGAGTGAAGACCCACCCGGTGGGGGGGCCAGGACTGCCTGTAGGCAGTGGACACATGGTGTGATGTTCTGCATTTCCAGATAAATCAGGGCCTGTCCAAGGTCATCCCTGCTACAGCACCTCTTGCACTCACCTACAGCCCAGCACGTTTTTCAGAGTGGGAGAGAAAGGGGTTACGTTTCAGCCAGTAGATACCCTGGAATCATTCACTATAGCTGTGAGCACGTATCATGTGACTGAATGGCTTCTGTAGTATCCACCCCAGCAGAATAAAGATTGAGAGCTCTTGTTGTAGTTGATCCTTCTCTGAGGCTCAGGTCCCTGCTTGAACCTTCCCAGTGCTTGTCCAGCTTCTCCTTGTATGCCCCAGCAGCAAGGCAGCTCACTCCCTCATACGAGACATCTTACAAAGGGAAAACTCGGAGATGTTCATCACACCATTATTCATAACTAAAAGCCAACTGAAAACACCCAGGGCTCAAACTAAAAAAGCAATGGCAAAAGGATTATAGGTAAGTTATGGCAAACTCACCCAATAGAATCATCCTCAGACATCAGAAAAGATCATTGGGAAACTTGTGGCAACAGAGAGGAGCATTTACATAGTGACACTGAGTAAAAACATGTCCACAGTATGATTGTAAATATATGATAAAATAGGTTGATTTTAAAAACAAACACTGCTTGAGCAGTTGTTATGTTTTGATTCCTGTACTTAGTATTATCACACATTATCTCATTTACTCTCCCAGCTGCCCAGTAGGGTACTTGGTACTTCCCCCTTTTACAGATGAGGAAACAGAGGGTCAGAGTGGTTCAGTGTCCTGCCTTAGTCCTCCCAGCCAGGCTGTCGGACCCAGGGCTTGAAGTCAGGCCTAGCACTCTCTCCACCACATCATGCTGACATCAGGAATAGAGAAGGGGGCCATGGGTAATTCTATTTCTTTCAGACTTCCTTTTCTGTTGCCATTATTGGAAATTTCTAAAGGAGGCTTTGACAGCTCCTTTGAGGGTGTGACCCCCCAAGACCAGGGAGGTGTTTGTGTACAACTCATAAGATGCTGTACTCTCTTCTCCAGGATGACATGGAAGCTTACCGGACCCAGAACCGCTTCCTGAACTCCGAGATCCACCAGGTCACGAAGATCTGGAGAAAGGTGGCGGAGAAGGAGAAGGCCCTCCTGATGAAGGTGCGAGTTGGGAGCCCCGCCCGGGCCGTCTGCATTCCCGGCCACCCATCTGGTCGCACACTGCCCGCCCCGTCTCACTCTCCTCATCACTTGTCTGCATCCCCTCTGGACTGAGCCCCTGTGAGCAGGGCCCGTGTCAGTTCTTCTGTCTGCTCGGCAGTGTTCACTGGGCAGTGTTCACTCGGTGGCTGTGGGTGCAGAGACCAGTAAGCCTGGTTCCTGCCCCCAAGGAGGGGCAGACTAGTGAGGGAGTTGAACATGAGCAAGATGAATAGGGCTCTCCGTATTCATCCAGATGAATAGGGCCCCCAGGGAGGAAGGAAAGTCAGGGAGGGCTTCCTGGAAGAGGTGCCTTCTGAGTTAAGTCCTGAGAGTTAGTGTTATCCAGGCAACCCATGGAGAAAGGGCTTGGAGGAAGAGAGACAGCGTAGTAAAGACCTGCAGCCTGAGGCGGGGAGCAGGGCTGGGGAGGGAGAGACGTGAGGCTGGAGCTGAGGAGTTTGGAGCTTACTCGGAGGAAACTGGGACTTGTTGAAGGATTTAGAGTGGAGGAGAAGACTGCTGTGACTGCGTGGGGTGGGTGGGCCTGGAAGGGGGTGGGCCTGTTTGGAGTCTATAGCAGGAGTCCCTGAGGAGGGTGTGGGTGACAGGACTCAGGAAGAGCCCTGGTGAGAGAGATGGGAACCAGGCAGGACAGGCAGGACAGAGGATGGCTTGGAGTTGGTGACCTGGGCAGGGGTGCAGCAGAATTGCAGCCTTGACCCTAAGGTCCCCCCACCTCCCGCCACCCCAGGATGAGACAGGAGCCAGGGCGGCCCAGGGGTCATTAAGCAAATTTTTACTGTCCCCATCTCACAAAAAGAAAACAAGGAGGTGGCCTGAACTGCCTGGCACCGTCCAGCTTGTATAAATAGAAACACAAAAGTTCAAGGGAGCGGGGCATGTGGTGGGAAGCGTCCCAGGCAAGGGAAGAGGGTGGGTGCATGCATGAAGGCCTTGAAGTCGGGGGGATGTGATGTGTTGGAGGAACAGAAAGAGCCCACATGGTGGCAGCAAGGGCACAAGGGCAGTGTCCATCCCCTGGGCAAATGCTCTGTCACTCTACCCACAGAGAGTTTGCTCTGTGCCAGCTCCCCTGGGAAGAGCTTTCATATATCAGCTCTTCTGATCTTTGCCAGAATCCTGAGGCAGACTCTGTATTAGCCCCATTTTACAGATGGATGAACTAAGGTTATGTAAGTTGCCACAGGTCACACAGCTAGCCGTGGCTGAACCAGGATGGTACTGTAGGCCATGCAAGAGCCTGTATTCTCCCTGTGCACCCTTCCCCTCTTTCTTCCGAACCAGCTCCAGCCCTGGGCCTGGTCCCCTCTTGCCTGCCTTGCTGGAAACCACTGGATTCAAGGCCCATCTCCCTTCCCTTGTACAAAGCGGTGGGATTTGGGAGTCAGGGCACACGAGGGTAGTGCTGCCCTAAAGCTGTGGGGCAGCCCAGGCCCAACCAGGTGGCCTGACCAGCGTGCCTCTCCCTCTTGCAGTGCGCCTATCTGCAAGCCAGGAACTGCCAGGTGGAGAGCAAGTACCTGGCGGGGCTGCGAAGGCTGCAGGAGGCCGTGGGGGCCGAGGCCAGCGAGTGCGTGGAGCTGCTGAGGCAGCTCACCCAGGAGGCGCTGCAGTGGGAAGCCGGCGAGGCCTCTGACGGCGTGGAGATGAGCCCCATCAGGTGAGCCCAGGTGGCCGGTCCCTGCTGGCCGTGTGCGAGCACCACATAGCTGTTACCGCCTCTGACCTCCGGATCCCCGGGCGTGTGGTCGCAGCGGAGGCCGTGCAGGCTCAGAGGAGGCAGCCCTTTGCCGTGGCAGACAGCACGTCAGCGCAGACACAGGGCTGCCTGCAGGGCCCCGCTTTTCCCACTCGTCCAGGTCGCACAGACGTGTTTGTCAGGGGAGGAGGGGACACAAGCCGCTGCCGCCTCTGCGCCAAGCCCTTTCTGAGCACAGTGGACACAGTGGTTAAACATGACGGAAAGGAGCGTGGCTGTGCTCGAAGGCCCCTGGAGGCTGGGTGGCCCAGTGGCAGGAGCCCAGGCTCTGAAGCCAGACCTGGCTCCCTTGCTGTGTGACCTTGGACAAGTCTCTTTACCTTTCTGAGCCTCATACTCAGTCTCCATAGATGTAGGCTAAGAGCCCTGCTTTGCAGGATCATTGGGATTAAATGAGATGGCACATGCAGGGCACATAGTAGGGATGAATAAATGTTGAATAAATGTGAAAGGCCATCTGGAATGAGTCCCCAGCTGTCCCACCTCTGCTTGTCATTGGTGCTGTCTGTCCCCCATCCATCCTTGGGCTTAGCGGCTGTGGTAAGTGGGTTCTGTGTTAGCAGTGCAGGACTCCTTGGGCCTAAGGCTGCGTGGAATAATAAGAGGGTTGTTTATATTTGCACAGAATGAGTGAGTGAATACCTCTTAAGCACTTACTGTGTACCAGGCGCTATCTGGGGCCCCAGCAGCTTACAACAGAGGATCTCACTGGGTCTTCATGAGGCAGAGCAGGGGTTCCTACACCCATTACACAGATGAGCAAACTGAGGTTGGGAGAACTGAAGTCATGTGTCCTGAGCTGCATGGCTAACCTTCCACGAAGCCAGGGCAGGAACCTGGCCCAGGGTCCTCCTCCCTCCCACTGCCCCTTATCTGGGGCAGGGCTCTGCAAGGCTTTGCTAAGGTGGGCTTTTTTTTGGCAGTGAGTATGATGAATATGGCTTCCTGAGGGTGCCCGACTACGAGGTAGAAGACCTGAAGCTGCTGGCCAAGATCCAGGCGCTGGAGGTGCACTCCCACTACCTGCTGTCCCTCGAGGCTGTGGAGCGGCCGCTGCGGGAACGCTGGGCTGCCCTGGCTGAGCTCGTGCCCTCGGCCGAGCTCAAGCAGCTGCTGCGGGCAGGAGTGCCCCACGAACACCGCCCACGCGTCTGGAAGTGGCTGGTGCACCGCCGCACCCAGCACCTACACACTCCCGGCTGCTACCAGGAGCTGCTGAGCCGGAGCCAGGCCAGCAAGCACCCTGCTGCCCGCCAGATCGAGCTGGACCTGAACCGTACCTTCCCCAACAACAAGCACTTCACTTGTCCCACCTCCAGCTTCCCCAACAAGCTCCGCCGGGTGCTGCTGGCCTTCTCCTGGCAGAACCCCACCATCGGCTACTGCCAGGGCCTGAACAGGTGAGCAGCTATAGCCTAGTAAGGGCGTGGCCCTTACCTTTCAGAGCACTGCTCTGTCTCTTGGAGCCTCCCAAGAACCCCGAGACGTGAGCCCAGGATGCTTGGTCCCCACTGGACAAATGGGGACAGGCAGGTGAGAGGACATGTTCAAGACAGAGATGGGCGAGGCCCCCTGTCCCATGCTCTCTCCTTTGATCTGTGCTCAGGGAGGTGCAACTCACATGGAAAGCATCGTGAATGGTCTGCTGGAGTATATAGTGCATGGCCTGGCTCACATATTGCAGAACGGTAGGGGTCATTTGCTGGAATCATTTGCTTTAAATGAAACCTCCTCAGTGGAGCACAAGGAAAAGGGAGTTTGTAAATGTTACAGAGGGAGCTCACACAAGCCAGGAAAAGAAAATTGAGCTGAGGACCAGCTGGTCATTGGAAGGAAGGCAACTGCTCTGTCCAGCAGCCCCAGGGGCAGCCTTCATACCTAGTCCCTGGGAATGCCATCCCCTCAGGACGTACAGCACCAAGGCACTTGTCTGCAGCCCTCTCAGCGGCTACATGGTCTCTGGCCTCTCCCTCACTCTACATGCCTGCTTCCTTCTCTCTCAGCAAACCAGCCTCTGCCCACTCATTTTTGGGATGTTTAGGGCCCATCACGGTTGCTGGAATGGAGACCTCAGCCCCTGAATGAGATCTTTCAGCGAATCTTCTCACCCCATCCCTCACACACTCAAACCTTGTGTCCCAGTCCTGAATTCCCCAAAGAAGGAATCTGAATGGCCCAGCCTGGAATAATTTCCATTTCTGGTGCATTCAGCAGGGGAGGGAGGAAGGGATTGGGAGTAGTAGATGATGTCACCTGGTTTGTAGGGCTGTCCCCTCCAAGACTGCAGGGGACTGTCCTGGATGCCCCGGGTATCTCAGTAGAGGTTGCATAGTCTGAAATATTTCCCAGAGCAAGTTTTGACTCAATCTAATTTAAACACACATACACTCAGGTAAAATTTACATAAGCCATTCTGCTCTTTTTTCAGACTAAATGGTGTGTGACAGTTATTTAACACGGAATAAACATTCAAATTGTTCTCACTCAAATTTGAATGGTTCTCAAGGGTAGATATTTTTTCCAGCCTAAAATTAGGTGAAATTGAGCATGCATATATACAATTACTGGGACTTAAAAGAGTTAAACTCCAACCATGATGCCTCTCGGTCTAAGCCTCCTTAGAAATTGTGTTCGGATTTCATGCTACTCTAAATGTCTGCTACAGGTGATACCTGTAGAAATTTCATTCATTCAGCAGCCAAGCAAAAGCCTGTGCACTTTTTATCTGTTTGAACATGTTAAAATCCAGAAGGGACAAAATTTGCAAAGCCTCTTTAACATTAGCTATAAAGCAGCTGGAAGCTATGCAATTAGTATGAACAAAAATTTTTACATTTCATGCAAAGGTCAGGTGGGAAGTAACGCTTGATGAGGGCCTCTTGGAGGCCAGGTGCTTAGCATACCTGATGCCATTTATCCTCACGAAAACCCGGTGAGGTGGGCATTGGTTGCCCCATTGTCCACATGACACTAGAGGGCCCAGCGCCTCACCACACATGGTGGCCAAGCCAACTACCAAACCCCAACACTCACTCAGAATGGCAGCAGTGGCAGAGGGTGTGCCAAGGCCTCCCAGAAGCCCTTTTTCCTGCATAGGCGTAACCTTTGTGAGAGCTGCTCTGGAGTTAAGTCTGTGCTGTAGGGGTAGGGGAAAATCCTATAGCAGGAGGGGGACTTGCGACAGCCTCGCAGAAAGAGAGAAACTTCTCCTTGTGTGGAAAGAGGTAGCACACAGGCCGCAGAAGGGGATCTAGGGACAACTGAGACCAAGAGAGGCAGAAAATACCCAGAGGGCGTTTTTTAAATCTCTTTCTCTGAATGCTGTTTTTGCTTAAATCTGATATGCAAGCACAGATAATTGGTATTTATGTAAATATGTGATGGCTTAAAATAGAACGTTATTGTAACAGCAAGCCTGCTCACATGTGCAGCGTATTGGCCCCAAACTCAAGCCTGCAGGCCCTGCACTTGTCTTAGTTGCCATCTAGTGGTGGCCGTTAGAACTGCATGTGTGGTGTCTCAAGATGACAGACTGCTTCCAAGGCAACAAATCCAGCCTGTTTAGACAGTGACAGTTATCATAGTAATGGTCTAATGCTAATTTACAGCAAAAATTTTAAAGCTATTTCCTTGTAAAAATAAGTGCAATTCTTTAAAAGTCGTGTTTTCTTGGCCGGGCGCGGTGGCTCATGCCTGTAATCCTAGCTCTCTGGGAGGCCGAGGCGGGCGGATTGTTTGAGCTCAGGAGTTCGAAACCAGCCTGAGCAAGAGCAAGACCCCGTCTCTACTAAAATTAGAAAGAAATTAATTGGACAACTAAAAATATATAGAAAAAATTAGCCAGGCATGGTGGCGCATGCCTGTAGTCCCAGCTACTCAGGAGGCTGAGGCAGGAGGATCACTTGAGCCCAGGAGTTTGAGGTTGCTGTGAGCTAGGATGACGCCACGGCACTCTAGCCCGGGCAACACAGTGAGACTCTGTCTCAAAAAAAAAAAAAAAAAGTAGTGTTTTCTTGCCCTCATTGACATGCTCCCTCCTTTGCAGGCCTGCTTGCAGTACTGCTGTAGCCTGAGCAGTTAGTTAGTAAGCCCTAGCACCCAGCCTCGGATAATGGACCTTTTAGTGTGTGCAGAAGTCTAAACCAATGCTGGCAGCCAACTCCTAGACTGAGGACATCCTGAGGCTCAGGGGGAACAGGGTTGGGAGGATGGAGAGCACCAGCCTGGACTTTGGGAGTGCTGAGTTCTGTTTCCACCCTGCCACCAGCAGACTGTGATCTTGAGCAAGTCACTTCTGCTTTCTGGGCCTTGGTTTTCCCATCAGTGCAATAAGGAGTTTGTTCAAACCAGAAATGACGAGTAGGAGGCAGCTACCTGGAGCCTTGTCTTGAGTGATTTTCTGAGGCAGCCTCCGGACCAGGGGGAAAGAGTGCCATGACCAATTAGTTACGTCTTCCCTGGGCATAGACAAAGGGAATGTTGCCGTGATCTATTGGTTATGTCTGCTCTGGGCACAGACAAAGAGAGTGGTGGCTAGAATACCTCACATTTGCTATCCTTGAACTCAGTGATTCTGGAGGTTCCCTCCCCTGCAGCTCTGAGAGGGCAGAGCCTCCTATTTCCAAGGAGTTCTGTGACTATTCTTCTCTTCACCCACTCAGCTCAGACTCCTGAAGGTTTGTACAAATATTTGAGCCAGAGTGGAGAGAAATTCCTTCCCAATCTACCGGAGAAAGAGAAGGGATTTATTTTCTTGTCTTTTGAGATTTGACCCTGTTTCTAAGAGTCATGAACCTCAGAAGAAGGTGGAGATCATGAATCCAATCCAGTGAGAACCCAGAGAAGGATAAATATCTGGACTATGAAATATGCTCTTTACATGCACAGAGAGTCTGAGGCTTCAAATGCTGTAAAGCGACACCTCCCTGAGGCTGCCCTGAGTACTGGATCCCTAGGCCTCGGTGGGCGCAGCGCACAGAAGGACCTCCGCGGCCCACTGGGCAGCCCTGGGTTAGGTAGAGTCAGTCACCCGGGGCTTTGTCACTGCAGGGTTTCTCAGAGGCTTTACTAGGACAGTGCACGTCGTGAGCCTCTAAGAGGGGGCTGGAACGTGCGGCATCCCCCACATGTCTTTGAATATGGGACCCTGTGTTCACTTAGCATCTTGGGAAACGTGTTCTTGGATTGGCCGTGGCTGAGAGCTGCCAGGGAAGATGGGAGAAGGAGAGACAACAGCACTTCTCCCAGGAAGACTTCCCTGCTCAGCCCTGGGGGGTTCTTTTTCTCACCCATGATCTCATTAGAGCCTCATGAGAACTTTGAGGGGCGGAGAAGTAGAGGAGAAAAAGAACTAGGCGCACTGAGCACCTGGTATAGGCCAGTGAGCAAGGCACTGTGGGTCCGTCTGCTCACTCCGAGCCTGCGGGGCAGATGTCGTTAGTCTCGCTTTGCAGACTCAGAGAGGTGAGTGTGCTTGCCGAGGTCTCAAAGCCTGTGATTATCAAGGCGAGGACAGCTAACATTTGTAAGAGAACACTATGTTTCCGGTGCTGTGCTGGGCACTAAATGAACTCCGTTCATCCTCACAATAGTCCTGGGATTATTGTGAGGAGGCTGAGGCTCAAAGGTTAAGTAACTTGCCCAAGGTCACCCAGGAAGCAGCAAGACCAAGACTCACACCCAGGCAAGCTGACTCCAGACCCCCTGCTTTGAAATGGTCCCCATTGCTCTGGAAATCGCCAGGGTCATCTACCCCGAAAGAGTGTTCATCTCACTGCAGGTGCCAGGAACACCCGCCTGGTTAGGGAGTGGGGAGTGGGGTTGGACTGCTGCTTGTATAGAAGGACTTACCCCTGGGACCCAGTGAGCCACCTCTGTCATGGACTGCCTGGCAGGGCTCTGACTTGTGTGGGTCACACCAGGGCTCCTTCCCTCCCACTCCAGGCTGGCGGCCATCGCTCTGCTGGTCCTAGACGAGGAAGAGAGTGCCTTCTGGTGCCTGGTGGCCATTGTGGAGACCATAATGCCAGCCGATTACTACAGCAAGACACTGATGGCATCCCAGGTGAGCGGGATAGGGAGGGGACTTGGCGGCCGTGCAGGACAGTGCCCCCGAGTTGTTCCTACAAGCCAGGGAATCTTCTAGGCTTCCACTTCTCCCTCTGTGCTGTGAGCCGATAACCCTCTCTGGGACTCCTGGGAAGTTCCAGTGAGCTGGCAGCCTTTAGAATTGTTGGGCTAGACTGCTGCTATTCTAGTGGTGACATCATGTCATTAGAAACAGTGGGTTTCCCGGGGCGGGGAGGAGAAGGAAATCTAGCGTCACTTGCTATCTGCCAGTGAAGAATTTCAAGACAGAGGTCAGGTAGATGGGCGATGGGGCTGGGAGGGCGGGAGGCGATGGTGCTGACTTATATACGCTCCTCGTTGTCTACCGAGAAGCACGGCTGCCTCCATCATCTCATCACCGCCTCGCTGTCCTCGGAGCACAGGCAGAGCTGGCTTCACACCCCCTACCCCTCCACTGACCAGCTGTGTGGCCGTGGCAAGTGACATCACCTCCCTGAACCCCAAGCTGGCCCACTTTTGAATGGGAATAAAGTTTCTCCATGGGCTTGTTAAGAGCCGTAAATGCACAAACATTTCAAACCCCACCACCCCGACTCTCCATCCTCTCCCACCACCCCCTGCCGCGTTCCTACTGCGTCAGCACCTTCTGCTCTACAGAGAGGCCTTCTCACTCCCCAGCCCCAAACCCATCAGCTACTCTCTGGCCACCCAGCCTTTTCTCCTAATACTGACTCCTCCCTCTGGGACGCCCACCTGGGCAGGGAGGTCGGGGGATGGTGGGTGTTCAGGTGTGGAGCTGGGGGAGCAATCGGGACTTTGGAGTCATCAGCAGAGAGGTACTGAAGCAGGTAAAGATTCATTTGGCCTCACGGAAGGGGAGCCCAAGCTAACAGTGGCTTCAGTGGGGGATTATTTTTCTCAGATAAAGACAAGGCAGGACCCACTCCTCAGTGCCGTCAGGCCTCAGGCTCCTTCCAGCTCCCTGCTCTGCCATCCCTGGCATGTGGCCGTCATCCTCATGCCCGTTGCGTTGTGGTCACAAGATGGCCGCACCCGCTCTGGCACTGTGGCCGTGGCCTGGGCTGGAAGAAGCAGAGGGGCAAACAGCAGGAGCTGGCTCCCCCGCCCGGCAATTTCCACTTCCATCTGACTGGTCACAACTGTGTCTCGTGGCCGCCCTGGTTGCAAGGCAGGCTGGGAAACGTATCATGTTTTATGTTCACATCTTAACAATTATGAAATTGAGGTGTGTTGTATAAGCAATGGGGTAGGGTTTGGGGTTTTTTTCTTTCATTTTTTTATTATGGAAACTATCCCACAGTTAAAAAAATAGAGAAAATAGTATCACGAACCTCCACGTGTCCATCGCCTGGTTTCGATAATTGTCGACATGGGGAGGCCAGTGTTGTTTCATCTATACTCGACCCACTCCTGCTTTGAATATCTCGAAGTAAATTTCGGATATCGTATCAGTTCGTAAATCCTTCAGTAGGTTCGCCGGCACCTTAGACTCAGAGAGTTACTGGAGGTTTTCAGCTGCACACGTGGCCTCCACAGCTGAGCAGGTTCTGGGTAAGGAGGGAGCGGAGCTGCTGGGTGTTTGCCACAGCCGAGGCCAACGCCTGCAGGGGACCGAAGTTGGGGGAGAGGGCTGAGCAACCAGTAGTTCCAGGAAGGAAGAGCAGGAAGAAACTAAAACAGGGTCATCCCAGAGGTAGGAGAACCACAAAAGAACCATGTCTTGGAGCCGGGGAAGGAGCCAGTGCTGGGAGCAGTCAACCGGGTCCAGTGAGACAAGGATGGAGGCGGGACAGTGGCCACAAGGAGAGGTCGCTGGCAACCATCGCCAGCAGTGTCCTGCGTTGAGAAGATTCTTCAATGCCAAGAGTGGCAGGACATTATGCCCCGCACACACCTGCCCCAGGACCTCACCCCAGACACCCACCCAGCGCCTTCTGTGTCCAGCCCAGAATGAGTATAGAGAAGCGGCCGTGGCCGTCAGCTGATGCAAGCTTAGAGACAAGGCTCTGTTTCCCCAGGGCCTTTGTGTGTGACCAGCTTCTCTGAACTGCCACGTGGATCAGCCTGGCCCCCAGGCTCCTGCTTGGCTCAAGGTTCAGGTGGGCAAGAGGGCTGAGAACTCGCCAGCCCACGCTAACCTCCTGCAAATCCTGTGCTGCGGCCTCGATGGCTCTCGCCTGTGTCGGGAGCAGCGGGCTGATGTGCTGCTGCACCTGCCTCCCAGCCAGGCTGGGCGCTAGCTCCCCCGGGTGCTGGGGCCTCCTGGGCAGGGCAGGACCTACGCAGAGCAGCTCCCGGGTTGTGTGTGGACCGACTGTGTAGGAAGGGCGGGCAGGGAGGCTGCAAGTGACAGGCCCTCTCACTGGCTTCCAGGTGGACCAGCGGGTGCTCCAGGACCTCTGCTCGGAGAAGCTGCCCAGGTTGATGGCCCACCTGGGGCAGCACCATGTGGACCTCTCCCTCATCACCTTCAACTGGTTCCTCGTGGTCTTTGCAGACAGTCTCATCAGCGACATCCTCTTCCGGGTCTGGGATGCCTTCCTGTACGAGGGGACCAAGGTAGGGTGCTGCTAGGGCGTTGGCAGGGGGGCCCTGAGCAAGTCCCTTCACCCCTCTGGGGCTTGATTCTGCCCCTGGAGAATAGGAGGACAGTGCTCACCTGTCAGGGTGGCTGAGGTCTGCCGAGAGCATGGCTTTGTAACCTGTGACGTGCTTTGCACATATGAGAGGCACTGGTGGTTCTGCCTCTGAAGACGGGTCCTAAAGTGGGATTGCCCTTCCCTGGAGAGGAGGCATGACCATGATCGGGGGGCACATCCCTAGTCCATCGTTGCCCCCTGGTCACCTGGGCCCCTTCTTCTCTTCCTCCTGGTTGGACTAAGCCCTGGAATGGGGGCTGGAGCTTGGGTTTGGTCCCAGGCCTGCCCTGACCTTGCCAGGAGGCCCTGGGCTGGTCCTCCCACCACCCCAGTTTCCACCTCACAGTTCACAGAGTACCTTCAAATTTGTCCTTTGATTTGATCACTGCCAGAGCCCCCAGTAAAGACATGGCAGTAACCCGATTAGGTCCAACAGGACAGGCTAGAGCTGGGACTCAGTGCAGATCCCCACATTTCAAGCTGTGCTCCCCCACATTGTGCCTCCAGGCCTCACCTCTGCAACCAGTCCCGGGACTCCCATGCCACCTGGGGCTGTGGGCTTTCCTCCCTCTCAGGCTTGCCTGCCTGGCCCCCCACGCCCCACCTGAGCCTCCACTTTGCCCCCAGGTGGTGTTCCGCTATGCCTTGGCCATTTTCAAGTACAACGAGGAGGAGATCCTGAGGCTGCAGGACGGCCTGGAGATCTACCAGTACCTGCGCCTCTTCACCAAGACCATCTGCAACAGCCGGTGAGAGCCCTCGCCTGTCCCCTCCGGCCCTCCCGCCACCCACGCGCCGCTTCAGTGACACCGATCATCCCGTTACAGCCTAGAAATCTTTAGGGAAGTCCTACTGTCTTAGTGATCCGTCTGCTGCCTCCTCATGGCATTTGAAGCCTCCATGCAGTTTCGTTTCTTGCCCACCTTCCCCTACCCTGAACACTCATGGCCTGTGATCCTGGAAGGTAGAATTATTTGAGTTCCTAGAACAACTCCACCTGTGGGCTTTTGTCTTCGTTTTTTCTACCTAGAATGCCTCCTTGCCACTTCCACCACCACCATTTTCTTTGCTTGGTCAACTTTTATTCACTGTTTAAAACTCAGCTCACGTGTCACCTCCTCCAGGAAGCCTTCCCTGACCAACCTTTCCCTACTGGGTTAGGTGCCTTGAGCTTCCTCCTGCCTCAGCACGATCACTCCAGGTGGAAATCATCTTCCTATTCACTGTTTCCTCTTCCTCCCTGAGGGCAGGGGCCAGGGGCTCAGCCACATGGGGGGGATGTCCCAGTGGGCCCTGTGCTCTGGACTGATCGTGCCCTCTCCCCAGGAAGCTGATGAACATCGCCTTCAACGACATGAACCCCTTTTCCATGAAACAGCTGCAGCAGCTGCGGACGGCCCACCGGGAGAGGCTGGAGTCTGAGCTGCGGGAGCTGGAGCGGCTCAAGGCCGAGTACTTGGAGAGGCGGGCGTCCCAGGGCAGAGCGGTGCCCGAGGGCTGTGCCAGTGAGGACGAGGGGGAAGGGGAGGCCTGACTTGGCCACCTGCCCTCCCCAAAGCCTTCCTTACCCTTGGCTGGCAGGCCCCTGGAAGTGAGGCATGGACCAGTGGTCCAGCCCGGGTAGCCCTATCACCATGTGACCCTGGACAAGTCCCTTCTCTCTAGGCCTCAGTCTCCTCATTGGGACATTGTCTGCTGTGAAGCCATTGGTTGGGTTACCTTTTGTGGGCACTTACCAGGGATGCCAGCCCTTCCTGGCCTCCACACAGAGCACTTTAGCTGTAAACAAGGAAGAAGAGTGCTGTCTTTATAGGGTAACCTTGAACATCCTTTGGGTTATATTAATATAAACAATGTAAATGTTGGAAATAGTTCACGAGCTTTGGGATTTAAACAGTTCTCAGTTACCAATTTTTCCTGGATGGGCCCAAGGTGCCAGGGTGTGCCACCCCTAGGGCCTCCCAGCCCAGGATGGCTCTGGCTGCTGTTTCTCTGGGTGTCTCTGCAGGGCCAGCCTCTTCCTGGTTCCCCGAGGAGCTGGGGCCCTGAGTGTTTAGGGTTTCTGTCTCTCTGGGTCAGGCTTTGCCAGGTCCATCCTCAGCAGGCTGAGGCAGGGGTCAAGGCTGCATAGCGATTTTGGCAACTCATTTCTCAGCGAAACATGTGACTGTGCTGGCACAGCTTTGGGGTTCGCACGTGGAAACCTCCTCTCTGGGAAGCCACCCAGGATTAGGTGAAGCTGCCTTCGAACCTCCTAGCTCTGATCTGAGGCTTCTGTCCAGAGCCGGGAGGAAGACTTGCCCATCACTGAGGACCAGGGACAGAACCTTTGGCAGCCCTGGCTGGTTCCTAGCCCCTCATGTCACCCACAGGTATGAATTTGGGGTACACCAGGCAACCAGCTTTCCCACACTATGCCGCAGCCCTGGGGAGCCCAGAGTGCCTTTCCTCAACCTCTGGACAGGATGCATGCTGTAACCTTAAGGTTGCTTGGTCACAAGGGGCCCAGCCTCATGGGGCTCTCAGGAGGGTTGATGGAGATAATGCTGGTTCTGAGCCTGGTGCACAGTAAGCTGCATCCAAATTTCTTTTTTTTAAGAGATGGGGTCTCAGTCTGTCGCCCAGGCTGCAGTGCAGTGGCGTGATCACAGCTCACTGCAACCTCGAACACCTGAGCTCAAGAGATCCGCCCACCTCAGCCTCTCTCCCCAGTAGCTGGGACTGCAGGTGCGCGCCACCACACCCGGCTAATCTTTTTAGTCTTACTGTGTTGCCCAGGCTGGTCTCAAGGAGTTCCTACCCACTTGGCCTCCCAAAGTGCTGGGATTATAGGCGTGAGCCACTGGGAGCGGCCTTTCCTATGAAGGAAACATCGCGGGCGGCGGGGCCTGAGGTGTGCAGAAGGCCCAAGCTCCAGAGCTGGAGAGAACTCGTATTCTCTCTTCGGCACAAAGGACCACAAGCAAAAGAGAAACAGGCACTGGGCACGGGGCGGCTGGGTGATGGCACCCTCCTCCTCAGTCTACCTTTCCTCCCCTCCTCCATCCCTCTTCTTCCCCCTTTCTCTCCTCCCCACCCCCTCTCCCTTCTTTCTTCCTCCTTTCTCCGCCTCTCCCTCTCCTCCACCTCCCACCCCCTCCAGGCAGGGGGGAGGCTCTGCTCAGAGCTGGGTGCCTGAGCTCCATCCTTCCCCTCCTAGGGGGAGGGGGTGCTTTGCCTTTGACCCAGCACTGTGTGACCTCTGCTTCCGACCTGGCTGCAGCTTAGAATCATCTGAGTAGCTTTTTAAAAATGTTGGTGCTGGGGTCCCACACTCAGAGCTATTGTGGGGCCCGGGTGTTCGGATGCACTGGGAGGGGCGGGGAGCACAGGATAGTGAGGACTCGCTGCCTCCTCCAGCCCAGCAGGGGGCGCTGGGAGTGAGACTTGCCTGTGCTGCAGCGCCTGCTCACCCAGGCCAAGCTCAGTTTACAGACCAGGAGACAGGGCTCAGAGAATTGGCTAACCTGCCCAAACTCACACAGCCACTGGGCGGTTGAGCCATGCTTAAGCCTAGGGGCCCTGACTGCAAAGCCAGGGAGAGCTCCTCCTGGCTTCTCCCTTCACCTTCTCTGGGAACTAGAACACCTGCCCCGAGGACCCAGGGAAAGGACAGGCGTGGCCTGTGGCCTCCTGGGGGTACACTCATGGGCTTAGCTCCAGGCAAAGGAAAATGAAAGGAAGAGCTCCCTAACTGTTGCCTCGAGCTGGGATTGTAGTGATAGCCCCTTCCAGAGATGAACCAGGCAGCGAGGCTACAGCAGGGGCTCGTGGGCCCCACCCTAGAATGTCCAAGCCTGCTGCTGGTGCTCTCAGAGCCTGCCCACCCTCCCCTGCTCTTCCTGGAGGGCGTTTGGGGCCCTCCCCTGGTGTCGGGTTCCTGGCCTGCACCACAGCTGTTGCCCCCTTCCCCAGGGGCTGCTGCCTCCCCGCCTGGAGGATCTGATCCCTCTCAGCCCCACCTTCCCACCCCAGGGAGGGGAACTCCTGTTCAAAGCATTCACACCCCACCCCCACCCTAGGCCCTCAGCAAGCTGTGGTCCAGGCCCCATTCCACAGGGGAGGGAAAAGGAGTTACCCAGGGAACCTCTCTGGGGTGACATCCCCAAGAATAAAGGGCTAGATCAAAGGAGGAGGGGCCTGGAGGACACTTTGGAAGACCTCCCCCCACACTCACACACCCCTCCAAAGTGGGAGGTGCATTCTCACTTCCACAGATTGCCCGTGTTCAAGGCTACTGTCCCCAAACACAGACCCTCACCCACCAGGTGCCACCTCATTCTTACTCAGCTCCATCTCCCCAGGACACAAGGCCATGTTGCACAGAAAGCTCCATGTGGGGCAGATCGATGGAGATCTTGCCCCACTCCCCACGTACATGTTCTGGTCCTGCACAAGGTGTTTACCCACAATGGAAGAGTAAACAAAGCTGACCACGTCGATGCACCAAGAAGGAAGCAGGAGGTTTCCTGGCCCATCCCAGTCAGCACTAAGTTCCAACAGAAGGTGCAGGCCGATGGGCCCAACTCTGGAGCCAGACCTGCTGTGTGGTTTTCTATAATAGCTAGAGGGGCCTGGGCAGGTCATGCCCACTCTGGCCTCAGTTTCCCCATGTGTGCAGTTCAGGGGATGGTCGGGGTAGCCTTCCACATCTGGACCAGGATTAGGGGGAAGGAGAGGGCAGGACAGGAGGACCCCCTCACACAGAGGCATGCACACACATACACCCACACAGCAACCCCAGGTAGGGTACCAGGTGGTGTCTATTACAGAGGCCTCCCCGTGGCTTATCAGTCTATATGTCCACAGCATCCAGAGAGGTCCCCGTCAAACCAGCTATTCCCCAGAGTCCCAGCCACCAGCCACCTTGGCAAAGGGTGGGAAGATGCAGATACAGGCCTGGGAGGGCACATCCACGGGGCATCTGGGAAGGCTGGAAGGATGAGTGGGTTTAGACAGGGGGAGTTGATGGTCTGGGAAGAGAATTACAAGCAGACCAAAGGCTGCTTAGCAAAGGCAACAACGTGTGAGAGTGCAAGGGAGTGGCATTAGGGGGGTGCACCAGAGATACTGGCCCAACACCCAAGTGAATTAAGACATTCAGATGCCTTAGCCTGGGAAAGGTTGTGGTGCCCACCCACTAGGTATAATTCAAGTAAAAGCAGACATGAACCGTGAGTATAAGGAATTCTCACAACATCTTAATTTTGTCCATATGGTTTTTCGAAACCTCAGATACCAACTCTTCCGTGCTGACACTTGAAGCATGCATTCGGTCTGCCCACTGAGCAGTCCAGCTCCAAGAGGTTTGGGTCAGAGTTGTAAGGTGGAGGCTTTGAGGGCCGTCCTGGACACAGGGTAGGCAGAGAGTCCATCCTGCTCTGGGCATGGGAGTAGCCCAATGAACTGTTAAAGGAGATAATCAAGAGCCCACCAAGTACTTAGCCACTCTAAGCCTCAATTTTCTTATCTGTAAAACGGGGGTAATAATAATGGCTAAATAAAAGGGTTGGTAGGATTAAATGAAATAATGTATGTAAGGTAGTACACAGTATGCTCTGCTATTCACTCAACAGCTATATACTGAGTGCCTACTATGTGCCAGGGTACTGTTCTAGGCCCTCGGGATACACCACAGAACAAAACCAAGAGCTCTTCTCAGGAGAGGTGGTGTAGTGGAGTGGCTCTGAGCTGGGGCACGGGAGCCATGCTGCCTGGGGTTGCATTCCTAGCCGTGTGATCTTAAGCTAGGTACTTAACCTCTCTGGGCCTCAGCTTCCTTATGTGTAAAATAGGTGAATAATAGTGTCAACTTCACAGGCTCGCGTGACAGTAAAGTGAAGTAATGCACACAAAGTGTTTAAACAGTGCCTGGCTCCGTGTTAGGTGGTGGTGTTAAAAGGCAGGGCCTCCCCATCTCTCGCCACTGCCTAGTGTCCTCAGTGCGGCGGAGCCGCTGAGACGGGGCCGCAGCGCCCCTCCCGGCTCGCGAGGGAAGACAGGGCGTCCCCCCGAAGCCCGGCGGCCCTGCCCTCCCTGCTCTTGCCCTCCCCGCGGGCCCCGCAGCCGCAGCAACCGCTCCCGCAGCGCGGTGTGAGGAGCGCTGCCCCGGCGCCGCCTCTGCGTGCGCGCTTTACCCGGCCGGGATCGTCACGCCCAGGCTCAAACAGCCCCTGAAGGCAGACACAGGTCCTGTCTCCATTCTACCTTGGGGGAAACTGAGGCTCCGGGAGGTCGAGTGCCTTGTACCACGCCACGCAGCGAGGGAATTACGGGACGTGAAGCCAGGCAGGCTGGCTGTCCCCAGCCTCCGCTTGGTGGCCGGGTAGCCCGCCCTCGTCACTGCGACGTGTGCGCGCCTGTTCGGAGCGTGTGTGCGCGTCCCGGGGCCGGCCCCCGGGGGCCAAGAGCTCGGTCGGGATCGGGGCGGGGACTTCGCGCGGCCACCGCGGACCTGCGGGCGGGCAGCGGGCGGGGCTTGGGCCGGGCCCCCGGCCCCGCCCTCCGGCCCCGCCTGCCTGGCTGCGCTCAGAGAGGAGGCGGCGGCGCTGGGCGCGGGGAGTCGGCGGGCGGCGAAGAGCGTGGAGCCGGAGCCGGACGCCGCCGCCGCCGCCGCCGCCACCGCCGCCACCTGCGTGGCCGTCATCAAGGTAGGGCGGCCCCGCGCCGCCGGCAGTGCCTTCGCGGTCTGCGCGATGGGGGCGTCGGCGGGGCGTGTGCGCTGTGCCTCCGGGCTGCAGCTCCCGGAGAGGGAGGGATGCGGGGCTCGGCGCGCCGCGGGGGACCCGGCGGAGCGCGAGGGACCTGGCTTGCAGCCCCTTCGCGTGACCTTGTACGAAGCACTGCTCCTCTCCAGACCTCAGTTTCC